GGCGGCCGGCGAGAGCGAGCGTCACAGGGTTTTCCACTCCCGGGGCGGATGTCGCCTCCCGCGAGTTTTTGTTTTCTCAGCTCCGGTGTAACTTCAGCGGGAGTTTCGGGTTGAGAGACGGGGACCTCTCCGCGCTGCGCCGGGGAGAGCTCCAGGCTCGGCTTTTACCTCCTCTCTCGCCTCGCGGTTTTTTTTTTTTGTTTGGTTGGTTTTTTTGTGGTTTTTCTTGCCTGCCCCCCTGCTCAGCAGCTCGCCCGAGGTAGCTGCGTTTCCAGGGCAGGTGATGGCTTCTGTCCGGAAATAGCGCAGTTTGGAAATCCGCTTGTGGCACTGCGTGTTTTTGCTTCCAAAAGGCGCCAGCAACAGCGGGGCGGACGCTTGCCCAGGGGTGCCCTATGGTTCTCACGCTTCTTCCCCGTCCCAGGGGGATAGAAATAGAAAATACCGTGGTGTCTCACCTCCCACGAGGTGACAGCTTGGTGGCCAAAGCTGGATTATTTTTAGTAGTTCCTGCGGCACCGATAGCAAGTGTCAGCCGTACCGTAGGGAGCCGAGTGCTGTTTCTTTAAACCCCTAGCAGGAAGTCGGGCCGGGAAGGCATCTAGGCAGCAGCCCTACGCTGCAAGGCAGAAAATAGTTTTAGGGTTAATGCTATGTTTTTTTTCTTTCCTGCTCAGCAGAAAGCGACTCGCCGTCACATGACGGTCGTTGCGGCGTATGCCCACACCAACACGGGGAGCAAAGGTTGGGAGGCTGCAGGTCCCGTTTCACCGAGGCAAAAATGAAGCCAGGGACCAGCGGGAGCGCAGGCGTTCCCTGGCTGGTGTTATACGTGTCCACGTTCCCCTCTTCAGCTTCAGCGGTCCCCTTTGCTAGCCCTGGCTCACGAGCCAGGCCCCACGGGGGTGCTCCAGGCTAAATAACATCTCCTGGCCCAGGAGCCGAGCTGGGAAGTCCTCCGCTTCCTAACAGCGCTGGAGGTGACTGCAGGGGCACTTCTCACCGCTCAGCAGGATGCTGCTGGCCGTTTCTGCCCCACATTTCAATCAGAAATATAAGCTGCGGGGAAAGGTCCTGCTGAGGTGCCTGAGCCCTGCAGAGGTACTGTCAGCATCTCGCGCTGGCACACTTAAGTGCTGAAGGCTGCTAGCGGTGCCCCGAGTGCTCTGTGGGATCGTGGATCAAGTCCGTCGTGCCACTGTGGCCGTGCATACATCCTTCTCCTGCGGTTGGGTCGGGTGGCTTAAGTCAGCAAGGCTTGCTGTGTTGCTCGGAGGCTGGATTTACTCAGGGCTGGCGGGGCCGTGGGGTGCCCCATCCCAGTGGGGCACTGGTGCAGACGTGCCAGAGGCTGTCCCTGGTGCCCAAGTGTCCCCATGGCCTGGCACCTGTGTTAGTGTTGGTGGCACAGCCGCTCCCATCCCAAGAACAGCAGTAGGTAATGACCTGCTTGTGTAGAGGGTCTACTTCTTCCCGGCAGGTCCTTTCCCTTCCCTATTTGAAGCTGCATCCAGGTGCATGATAATGGCTGAGCATCCATAAGGAGGGCCCTGTGAGCTGGAGAAAGCTTTTGCCCACAAACCAGGTGGCAATGGGGTCCTGCCCTGTGGAGGTGCTATTAGACCTGCTGCTGGTGACTTCCTGAGCGCTCGCGGGTTGTCCCATCCTAAAAGTCATTTGTAGCCATTCAGAATTAGGGACAAATTCCCGAACTAGCAGGCAGTGGAAAGGGAGGTGAAATAGCCTGCCCCAGCGGCTCGACACAGCGTAGCTATGCTAGTGGTCCTGATACAACACCAAGCTTTGACTTTGCTGAGGGATCTCTCCTCCAAAAGCCAGCTAAAGGCTCTGGGGCCTGCAGGATGGTCTCTGAGCCCCGTCTCCCAGGCTGAGCCCAAATCAGGGGGGTCCTTTGCCACGTCCAGCAGCGATGCAGATCCGGGAGGGTCTCCTCTCCCTGCCTCCCTCGCAGGGCACACCTCTGGGGGGTCTGGTCCGAAGCGAAAGGCCTGCAGCTGCACCAAGGATGCAAGGACCTGGGGGAAAGGTGGCTCTGCGCCCATCTGGAACCGAGTTAGGCTCGGGAGGCTTTGGGTTGTGTTTGTTTCTTTCCTAAATCTTGTCCACCTCTTGTGTAAGTTCTTGAAATCTCTCCCCCTCCCGAACCTCGCCTGCCTGCCCGGCAGCCGATGGAAGAGGCCACGGCCACTCCCGCTGTGCAGACCGTGTTCCCTCGCCTCCGTGTGCACCTCCTCCCCGTGCTTCCCAGCTCTTATTGCATCAGATTTCAGCCCGCTGCCTTCCCAGCTCCACCTTTCCTCTCCGCTCTCCTCCCAACTCTTCACCTTATTGCTGCTTGGAGCGTGCTCGGCGGGTGCCTGTCCCCGAGTCCTTTTCCTGTGCGTGGAGCCTCATCTCTTTTTCTCCCCAACTTCAAACTCGTCTCCTCCCTCTCGCCAGCCGTCACCTCTGCCCATTTTTGCTCTCGCTTGGTTTGATTGCTCCTCTGCGAGGAGTTTGCTTGCTGGGGGACTGTCTGAGTTAGGTGGAAATGCTGCTTGGCTGCATTTCAGGCTCCCAGCCCTTGCCACCCCTCTCCTCATAACCTAGTGATGGGGTTTGGGGGGGGTAATTCACTGGCAAGGGGAAAGGCACAGATTTGGTGACTTCTCCTCCTGCAGTGCTGAATCATGGTGAGATGACTTTTCTCCCGCCCCCGCGACGCTGCTGAGCCCAGACCCTTTGCTCCCTTCCCGGGACCTCTCCAGACACTTGATTCACTCGACCTCAGCCCCCGGCAGCCTTGGGTGCGCTCGCCGGAGGCTGGGCTCGGCAGAGGCTCGGGTGCTACTGGGCTCCCACTTCGCAGGCAAGGCAGGTGCCCGTGCCGAGGCGGGCGCGTGCCAGCACACCGGGCGCACGTGCATGGCAGAGAGGGGTGCCCCGGGCAGCGCAAGGAAGCCGAGGCCTGGCGGCGCTGGCGGCTGGTTTTGC